CATAGAGCATCATTGCTTCTTAAGGAGTTAATATTAGAACAATTTCATTTATATATAGTCCTTTTAAATATGTTAACAACCTTGTCAACACATACAAATAGATAGATTTAGAGTTATTAATACTAATTAGCAAGTTCCTGTGTTTGGTGCCAAGCTCCTAGATCTCCTGTTAGTAGTGTGTAAGATGCGTTATTTGGGTGAGTGGTGATGTATGTTAATCCAAATAGATACACTATGGCTGGGAATCATGAAGGGTAATTAAGCAATCCTTTGGTAAGTAAACCTTTTAATCTATATAGTTGCTTGAGCTATAGGCAGCAAAACGTATCGACTAGAGTTGTACGTCTTTAATTAAACTTTTGTTTATTGAACAAAAATGCAAACATTAATTACAAGTACAATGAAAATGTATCGCCTTTTCTTACTAATTTCTTCAAAGTATTTTAATGAGAATTTTGTCCTTTTTCTTTTTACGAGCAGCTATGTTCTTTTTGAAATTTTTAGCAAAGAAAGGCTTAGAAAAAGTGTTGCTAAATAATTTCTTTCAAATTCTAAAAGCGTGTTTTTGCAACTTTTTTAGAACTTGATCTCACTATTTTTGCAATACCTTTATAATTTTCTCATTGTCCTATGTGTTGGTTGTGACACCTAGAGGCTATATGTGGTTACTACTGTTTAGTATTTAGTAGCATCAGTTGTATCATGAATACTGGGTCACTAAATTGTGTGTACTGTGTGTGTTATTTTCTTTGTGAAGAGTTTCATTCAGGAAGATTTGGTGTCACTCAAAATAGAAATGTGTGATAATTAAAACTCAAAAATGGGGGGTGGAGCCAGCACACAAGCAGAACGGACACCTTCTCGCTAAACTCGTACGAGAAAAGCACCAAAATACTCCCCAAATGCTTCAAAAATCGAGTTACATAAGCAATTCAATAATGGTACACATCGAAAGCACACCCGGGTGTCCTTCTACACAGCCCGATGCCCTTTTTACACACTTCACAGACAGAGGAATCGAAGTGCAGGTCAGAGGCCTACAAATTGCCCTCCATCCCCAGACTCGAGTCTCTCCTCGGCGGATCTCTGGAGGGAGACCTATTCGGTCCAGCCAAACCACCTGCACTAATCTCACAGGCAGCGGGAACAAGTATGGGACGCCGATCCCAGAGACCTGCAGCAGCCACACAAGAGACATCGGCACTCTCCTGCAACGCCAGCTGCAACACAAAATGGCGGCCACAAAGAACCAGGAGGTCTCTCCCTTACCAAGCTTTGCAGAACCAGCAGCTCCAATACTACAGCCTGCAGCCGAACTAGAGCTTACAGCACCCTCGATAATCCAAGGAGAGCCTGAACTAGCTACAAAGCAGGATATTCAAACTTTCATGCAGGATATCCAAAAGTGGCTGTAATCTGATAATGCAGTTATAGGAAGTTCGGGCCTCTAAGGAGGACATTTTGGATATACGCATGGACATGACCACGATGCAAG